AATACTATTCCATTTTGTGGATATACCACATTATTTATCCACTAATCAGCTGATAGACATTTGAGTTGTTTCTACATTTTTGGCTGTATTGATTAATATTGCTATGAACATTCATGTGTAAGTTTTTGTGTGGAAGGAAGTTATTAATTTTCTAAATATTTTTTACACACTAGAATGTTAGAGCCTTAGTCTTACATTGGGATAGTTACCCCTCATTCTCTTTAATAGTTTTCAAAGGTTCTGTTTTTAAATACATGTGTCTCATTTTTCTAGCTTTATTGAAGATTGATTGACAAATAAAAATTGTATATATTTAAGTGTAAAATGTGATGTTTATATATGTATATATGTATAAACATGCACACATATATATATATAAAAATGTGAACTTATGACCACAATCAAGCTAATTAACATATCCATCACCTCACATAGTTACCATTTTTTTGGAGTGATGAGAATACTTGAGGTCTACTCTCAGCAAATTTCAAGTGTATAATGCATTATTATTAACTGTAATAATTTTAAGTGTATAATACATTATTATTAACCATGCTGTATATTAGGTATCCAGAACTTATTCATCTTATAACTGAAGGTTTGTACCTTTTGACCAATATCCAGCCCCTGGTAACCACCATTCCAATCTCTGTTAATGTGAGTTTGACTTTTTAAAAAAATTCCACATATAAATGAGATCATACAATATTTGTCTTTTTGTGTCTGGCTTATTTCATTTAACATAATGCCCTCAAGGCTTATCCATATTGTTGCAAATGGTAGTATTTCATCTTTTTAAAGACTGAATAATATTCCTCTGTGTGTATGTGTGTCACATTTTCTTTATACATTCATCTTTTCACAGATACTTAGGTGGTTTTTCTATCTTGGCTATTGTAAATAATGCTGCAGTAAACACTGAAGTACAGATATCTCTTAAACATACTGATTTCATTTCCTTTGCATATATACCCATGAGTGGGATTGCTGGATCACATGGTAGTTCTATTTTTAATTTTTTAAGGAAATTCCATGCTGTTTTCCATAGCAGCTATACCAATTTACATTTCCATCAACAATGTACAAGAGTTTCCTTTTCTCCACGTCTTCACCAACATTTGTCATCTTTTGATTTTTTGATAATAGCCATTTTAACTGATGTGAGATGATATCTCATGGTGGTTCTGATTTACATTTCTCTGATGATTAATGATGTTGAGCATCTTTTCATACACTTTTTGGCCATTTGTATGTCTTCTTTGGAAAGATGTCTGTTCAGGTCCTTTGCCAATTTTTTGATCAGTTTTTTTGCTATTGAGTTGTATGAGTTCCTTATATATTTGGAGATTAACGCCTTGTCAGATATATGGTTTGCAAATATTTTTCCCATTCTCTAGGGTGCCTTTTCATTTTGTT